AATGTAATGATGTCTAATAGCCTATTCTTGTGAACAATGGCAGAATTTCAAACTTCTTTCTCATGATACCTTCTGTATTGTTCAATTTGGAAAGGCTAATTTTTGAGATTGCTTGTTTGAATCCTAGAACACTACTGTGCTTGGTTTTGCGACAAGTCTTCCATTAGCTTCAAGTACTTCATATATTTTTTCTTACAATCTCATTCCAAGTCTTCCTACGTCTTTCGCGGCCCTATACATGTCATTAAATTTATCAATACCAAAATGGAATGTATAGAATATCTGTTTTCAATTTATAAGATCTCGAAAGTTTATTGGAAAAATTGAAAAATAAGTGGATTGACTCATTTTCTGCTTCACTGTGATGAAACACAATTTTAGTATTTGGTCACTAATCGCTAACTTCATTGCTTTCACTACAAATTCTGGATATAATACTTGATAAATGCGCGTCGTGTCGAGTTTTATCATACCTGGCTAGGTTTACATAAGTTTAGTGAAAGTTTCTCGTCGTGCTTTGTCCGTGGTTGTAAGCTTTTATGCCAAACCACGTTAATCTCTTCTGTTCTGATTTTGATATTGTTTATATCGTTTTCGCCTACGATAGTAATATTTGGTACTTTTGTTAACATTTGCATTCGTTTGTGCATAAAAGTACAACAAATCAAATGCAGGAAAGAACACAAATGAGTCAGATTCATTGTCCTTTCTACTTTTAGTAGTTTAACTTGTTGCACTCGCATTCATCTCCTTAGTTGCTCGTTTAGGTACTCACTGTATATTACATGATGTGGTTCTGCATTCGATCGGATCTTATTGGCGATAATGGTAATGCAGAAGAGTATGTATACATACATAAATACGCATACGATCCTGTAATATCTGATTTTGAAACTTTGTAATTACTTGAAAATAATGTTATTGATACGATGTACTAATCGGAGCAAGTCTTGATGTATGAAAATAAGTGTTATGAACTTAATTTGGGTTGCTTCTGGAATGGCTCAAAGTAGGGTTTGATAATCAAACTCACTTATGACTACGTCTAACACAAAATCTTAAGATCACTTTCGGGCCGTAGAAGCACTTTTATGAGAAAACGCATGAATTTGTAATAAAAAAATCTGTATGTTACAATAAAATCAGTACTTCTAGCAGAAGTGCTTATATAAAGTTCCTGATGAAAAGATATGCAACCCCACATTAATTAATAAGAACACAGATGAATATTGACAAAATAAATAATTTCATAAAATTTGCTACTAATTTCAAGCTGTAGGATAAGAAACTTTCATGGCAATGCCACAAGGGCCTTGCCTACTACGAACATCTCTTTGCATTCTCACATATCCACCCTCGCCCATCCTCGACCCCATGAATTTTTCACTAACCAATACTTGGTGCCATCAGCACCTGTCCCATACCCTACCACAGCAACACCATGGTTCAAATCGGTTCCACAACCTCCTGTGAAGATCCCACCTGAGTAAAACTGGAATGCTGCTCCGCCGGCGTCAATTGCAACGGAGACGGGTTGTTTGGCCACAGCCTTCAACAAAGCCAACTCATTGGCTGGTACATCTTCATAGCCTGTGATCTTGGCTGCATGATATGTATTGGCCTCGTTCTTTGTTGCAAGTTCCATCAACTCCCTTGTAGGGGTAGTGTGCTTCAGCAGCAATGCCTTTGTTGTGCATTATAAACTTGGGGTGTGCTATCCACACATCCCTTGATAATTTCTGTCCGTTGATATTCTTTAATTCATTCGATCCGATGGTCGAAAATTAAAAAAATGTATGAGAAGTAAATTGAGATGTGTAGATATCACACCTCTATAAACTTAAACGCATCGTGGCAGCCTTAATTCTCACCCTTGGTATCACAATCCGTTGGGTCTGAACCCAGCCCTCAAACAGAGGCCCAAAAATGCAAAAGCCTATGAGATGGATTGTAATGGGATGCAAGCCCAGAGCCGAACGGCTCTCCCTGTCTCTCATTTCTGATTATATTTAGAAACCCTAGGTCTTTCTCTCTCTTGAAACTGAGAGAAAGACCTAGGGTGGAGCCGTGAAGGGAGTGGAGGGGATGGAGGGGTGGCTTGGATAAGGAAGATGAAAGGGGGTTTCTATTTTTTTTAACTTTTCTTTAATTAATTATTTTAATATTTTAAATTTTTTATTAAGTGTTTAGCCACGTGGCACAAATGTGGTAGTCATGTTAGCATAAATGGGGACCCTATATTTGTCATGTCATCGCTTAACGGTTACCTTAACAGATTTTTTAACAGTTGTATGAAATTGAAAAAAAAAAAAAATACTATATGTATGAGATTGAAACGTTTTAAAGATGTTGTATAAGGTTGTAATTGCACCGAAATCGAAAGGGTAAAATGTAATTTATTATTTTTTCTTTTTTGAAGGCAAACTCCCAATCAATCTTTTTTCTTTTTCATTTCAGTCCCAAAAATAAATAACATAAATAATTTATGTATTTCAAACAAAAAAGCTAATTACAAAATACACCCACGTGAATCATGATATTAAGGGGCATGAGATGTGGATGGAAGCTAGGATTCACTCAACCAGGGGCAACAGAGCTTGCTCGACATTGCTAATTAAGGAGGAGGAAACACTCACTTTAATTGCATAAAGCAAAAATATATATGGGCCCTTCCTTAAGGGAAGGGATTCCATTTTTCAAAAAAAATAGAGACACTATCTTGACCGTTAGATTTGGGTTTAATGAAATTCTATGGTTAAGATTAAATCACAAGTCGCAAAATCTCAATCACAAAATTTCATTAAAGCCAAATCTAACGGTCAAGAGGTTGTCTCCATTAAAAAAAAAAATGAAGATCCCTTTCCTTAAAGGTTTCATATATACATATATATATATATATATATATATTTTTTTTTTACATTAATCAAGTCCCCCTTTCTCAAGGGTTTAGTACATCTTGAAATTTGATATCTTCCACTCCAGCATCGTCATCTCTTATATATGCAATGTGGTATTGACCTACTTCCTTCAAACATTCTTGAAATGAGAACCCTTCTTCTCTGCCACCGAAATTTTTGTAAGACACCTATTTAGCATGTTGTGGGTTAAGCTTTTTCTGAGCATTAAGAAAATGAAGTGCCTCGTGATCAGAGTTCAATACAAATGCTGCATTTTCTAACACCCTTGCAATAGGCAGCACCGAGGAACGTACACTGGAGCACAACGTTTCATCATCAACATACTCATCGTATATTGGAGGAGAATTCCAATCTACCAAGTTAATCTCTTCACCCATTTGGTTTTCAAAGATAGAAAATATCATCCATGATCTTCTAATGCAGTGGAAAATCTGCCCTGATACCACTTGATGCAGGAAAGCACCCAGGGGTCTAGAGGAGACGAGGATAGAATCTGAGATTTACTCAGCCAGGGGTAATGAAGCTCGCTTGACGTTGTTAATCATGAGTTCACTCATATGACCAAGCTAAAGAGGAAACACTCACTTCAATTGCACAAAACAAATATGTATTTTTTTAATTAATCAAGTCCCCCTTTCTCAAGGTTTAGTACATGATATTTTTAAGGAATACAACACAATGAAACTCTAGTCTGAACTGAACTTCTACTCTCTCCCAAAAATATTTAAAATGTTCTTAAATAACTACTTAATTATTTATGTTGTTCTAAAACGCAATTAAATATATTTGATGGTTCCTATACGTATGAGACTCTTCGTAGATTCCAATACATGCATGAGCCTCATTTTGAAATCCAAAATAAATTTCACTTAAAACGTTTTTAGTCATTTTAAAAGCACTTACAAACAAGCCTTATAACATTCATTTATAAAAGGCAATCAAACCACACCCTAGCCTAATATATGTTTGCTGCCCAATTTTGATCCAACACAGTGCTCAAATCTCAAAGTACGCTAACTCTAAAAATAAAAATTTGACGGGTTAGAGATGTTGGGTTAGCTTATATCAGGGGAAAAGTTGTGAACTCATTATAGATTACACTTTGCCATCAATAATTAACAAAGAACAATACTTGGCTACTTAAAGATGAGTAGGAATTCCTACTCAAAATTCTTAACGTTTTAATCACAGAGTCTTGTACTTATGATCATAACAGTTCATATAATGAATTACACTATAAAGATCATCTCTGTAAAAAGTAAATTAAAACTAAGGTTGTTTAGTCAATCTATTGTAGCAAATACATAGCCGGTTCTTAATGTTTTTACTAATACTGTTCATTTGTTTTTAACAGTTTGATAACTAAACGACCTTAGTTTTAATTGATTTTTATCAGGGTGATTTATAATATAAACTGTTCTGATTATAAATACGAAGTTCTATAAATTGACCACAAACAATATTGAGAAATTTTGAGTAAGAGTTTCTACTCATCTTTAAGTAGTCAAATATTGTTCATTAAAAAATTGAGTAGAAATATTAAACTCAATCAGCATTCCGACCACACAAATGGAAGCATACTTTTTAGTCTTTTAGTCACCTCAGTGTTTTCAACTCTACAACAAATAGGAAGCAGAATGGTAATCCTCTTAAACTTGCATATCAACTATCAAGAAACAAAAATGGTACTCTAATTTAAACTATCTCCCACTCAGACTCAGAAAATTCGTAATCCGGAGAATTAGATTTCTCAATGACTGCGGTGGTTGTGAATTTTTTTCCTTTCTGTTGATCAAATCCTGCATCAAGATTCCCAGACGGATCTGCCAGCTGCTTATGGTGTTGCATCTTCAATAATCTCATTTTCGAAGCAAACGCTTCCTTTATTTTTTTTCTGAGAACCAAAAGAAGAAAGAAATCAAATCATATCAGTTGCATAAATCTGAGTAGAGAGCTTGAGTTCAAATTCTTATGATGTATTATCACTTCCGAGATTTATCGAAAGTTCCATCAAAGGGTTTTTGTACCTTGTAAGACCTGCATTTTGCCTCTTCACAAGAAATGGATTGAATTCTGGTACCATCTACTTTAATGCAACTTTCGTCAAGCTTTATGTTCAGTGATTGCGAAGTCTGTAAACCTGACTTAGCAATGTCATTATCCCACGCTTCTGAAATGGAGCCATGAAATCTTTATGAAGGAAAGTTGAAAACATATACTTCCTTAATACTACTGCAATAACATAATTTGATGTAATCAAACAAACTGCCGATATGCATCAAAAGTCTGTAGGTCCTCTATTAAAGGGCCAGATGATGATATGCACGCACTCAAAAACCAGAAAACATTTAGACACTAGTATATCATGTTAGAACGCAAGGCAACAGAATTGCAACATAGGAAAGAAGATCGATGAAATGATAAATTACTACTTTCTGGAAAAGGCATGGTAGATTGATCCTCAAAACTATTGCACACTGGCAAAGGCACGGCAGACTTTAATTCATCAAAACTATTGTGCAGTTCAATACCATTGGGAGGAGAAACTGCATCTGTGGTCAAGCAGGCTGCACCATTGTCCGAGGCAACACAAAAATTAGTAGAAAAGAACGCATAAATGAAGAAACATACAAATATTGGGAATACTAGATGTGGCTAGACTCACAATTTGATATTGAAAGGGCATCAGCAGGACAAGATCTAATACCCGCTGGGTTTCTCTTACATGGTTCTACCAAGTTAACAAAATCGGAAAATTGTATCTCATCTGAAATATTAGAAGACATGTCGGTGTGGTTACTACTTCTGTAATCTGTTTCCATAAGAGAATTGCACCCTCCTACATCATCGAAGGCTGGGACTAGCATATTGTCTCCACCATCCAATTCAAATTCTTGACTTGCATGATAAATTCCATCGAGCTGAAATTTATTCACCTTGATATCATTAGTTTCTTCCAATGATAACCACACGATATGGTCTTAACAAATTCCACAGAACCTAAGTGGACTCCGTCATCTGATGACATTTTATCGTGGTTTTCGTAAGTAGCATTTTGTACAAGAGATGAGTCAGAAGCTGCCCCTTCCTCTATATCCACTGAAGATTGAGAGAGTGCATCTCCTACAGGTTCTGACGAGGAGAGAAGGTTTTCAACATTCTCACAAAATGTCTCCAACTGGCTTATAGCAGGTTCAATTACTTCCTGCAAAACAAAGGAATTTTCCATAAAATTAAGTCAAGCAACCGTGAGAGTGGAGCTGATATAGCTGAGCTTGAAAATAACATGTCCACATTGACTTAACAATTCGGAAAATGTAGATGTTAACAGAAAATTGTGGCGTAAGGCAAAACAAGAACTAGATGATTGTACATAACAAGAAACAATACCTGCTCCACCTCCCGGCACATATCTTCGAACTTCAGGTCTATGTTCCCAAACCATGATATGCCTTTACAACTCGTATCCATGTAGACCAAAATAATTTATAACTTTCAGATGCAATTGAAGGTGTAACTTCTCAAGCTCCTCGGTCCAAGAAGAACTCAATATAGCTGCGATCATATGATACAAGTCAAAGTTTTTTAAAAAATATGAGCACAAAAAGTTAAAATATATGGATATAAACTAAAACTCAGAAGAACATTGGTGCAAATTTAAAAAAGGAACAAATTAAAATAGAAATATATGAAAAATACTAAAAAGGATATATTGGAAAATGATTGACAAATTTTTAATTTTAAAATTGGAATATGTTGGCATATAACTTATTTAATATTCAAATAATGACAAGGACGAAGTAAAAGAACCTTAATCAAAATAAAAATAAAAAGATTTTAATTATTAAAAAATAAGAAAGGAGAACCTAATTTATCCTTTAAAATATAACACAATTAAATTAATAATTCACAAGATATGTATATATATATATCTTGTGAATTATAGAATGTTTATATCAGTGGCAGGCAGATAACCCAACTTATTAACAAAAGAACCACTATGTCAACGACTCAACGACTATGAAGTTTGGTGGGATGCTATTTTTGCATTAGCCAAAAACTCCACTTAAATGGGCACATTTGAAATAATTTTGTTTGCATCAATCTGTTCTATTAATTTAGAAATAATAAATAGCTTTTTGACGAAAAACATGCAAAGCATCTTTCTTGTATTCTAATTAATGATTGATTTTGTCAAAGAAAACAAATAAACTGAAAATATAGGCTTATTTGAAAGTGTTTTTACACGTTTAATAACAAATAATCAAAGAACACAAGCACAAAAATGCCAAATCATTGTCAAACCCATAACAACCCAAATAGAAAAACAATAATATGATTCATCACTTGTATGCCAACCTCAAAACAAACAAGGAGAAAACTCATTAATTAAAAAAAAAAAAAAAGGCAAGTTATCTCCACATAATTTATCATTTCTCAATATTTTAAATATTCATCCAAAATTAATTTAAATATTACAAGTTGTATTTAATTTAGAAGTATCTTGGATAAGTTAGATCTGGGCCAAGAACCAAACAATATATTAAAAGGGGGGCGCCGGGGTGGGGTGGGGCTGGGGGATCTTTTTTACTTCTTACATACTTCTTATAAATTTCTGTTATCTGATCTTTTTTAATTCATTCAATTCGACAGCTGAAAATTAAGAAAATGTGTGTGAAGTAAAAAATGGTATGTAGATAGCACAACCCTATATGAAATATTTTATTTTGTGGCTTTTCCTTGTAATTGTTTTGTCTCTTAAAAATATGAAATAAATTTTTTTATGCCACATGTTAAATAATTAATTACTAAAGATGACAAACACTTTTGTGTGACAAAATTCTGATGTGGAAAATGAGGACCACTTTGGTAGGCAAAATGTGACAAAGCATGACTTTGATATGCTCTTAAAGAATCAAGTCTTTCCAATAAATTATTGGCATTTTCTCAAGCAAAGTTTTGTTTTTTCTTTTCTGTTTTTTATTTTCTGGCGGGAATCTCATGTATGTCGAAAGTGGGGGATCCTTTTACTTCTCACACACCTCTTATAAATTTTTGTCATTTGATCTTTTTCAATTCATTCGATTTGACGGCTAAAAATTAAGAAAATGTGTGTGAAGTAAAAAAAGGTATGTAGATAGCACAACCCTATATGAAATAATTTATTTTGTGGCTTTTCCTTGTAATTTTTTTGTCTCTTAAAAATATGAAATAAATTTTTTATGCCACATCTTAAATAATTAATTACTAAAGATGACAAACACTTTTGTGTGACAAAATTCTGATGTGGAAAGTGAGGACCACTTTGGTGGGCAAACTGTGACAAAGCAAGACTTATATGCTGTTAAAGAATTAAGTCTTTCCAATAAATTATTGGCATTTTCTCAAGCAAAGTTTTGTTTTTTCTTTTCTGTTTTTTATTTTCTGGCGGGAATCTCATGTCTGTCGAAGGGAAGGTTGTAGAAGGCAAATCATTTCTATATATTATTGTCTTTAAGGTTTCGATCGACCTTCAAAATTGTACTAATCCCAAACTAAATGCCAAATGAGTTCATCCATGGGTGAAGCTAGGAATATATTAATGGTGGACTAAGTTATTTTTCTTGTAGTATGGAGTGAATTTAGGTGTTGGGATAGGCTAAATTTTCATTATGTGCAATATTAGACTTAATTTTCTGAAACATACTTATTCTAACACAAAAAGTATTCATCTTCTAAACCTTGGGGTGTGCTTGAGCCCAAGGCAGCCACTAGCTGGCTCCGTCATTGTACACCTACTTATTGGAAAAAGACCGATGATCAATGAATTTACTTATTAGTTGTACTATCTTTTTCTCTCGCTTTAACACTCATACAAATACACTTTTCTTAGCGCGTAAATTGCATTAAGATTAAACCTTATTGAACTACTATAGTTGGAGTTGTAAACCTTACTGTAATATGTTGAAGAAGAAGAAGAAATGAAGAAGATAGGAACAAAGATAGCATGGAGAAGAAAGAGAGAGAGATTTCAATGATTAATACTCAAGAATTTCATTACACTTTATGTTAGAGATACTTACATACTTATACTCTTTTTCATTACTAAAGCTGATCTCTTAAGCTACCTTATAACTACCTAATCTAACAACCTTTCTTATCTAATGACAAATGGCATCTTATTAACCATTGGATCACTATCCTCAACATCCCCCCTCAAGCTCAGGAGAGGAGTAATCGAGCCTGAGATTGATGCAGTGCGTCTGAAATAGTGGAGCAGACAGTCCCTTGGTTAAAATGTCAGCAAACTATTCACTAGAAATAACAAATCGAACCTGAAGCAACTTTTTAGCAACTCTTTCTCTCACAAAATGGATGTCCACCTCAATATGTTTAGTTCTTTGATGCAAAACTGAATTACAAGATAAAGCTATCGCAGACATATTGTCACAGAAGAGAACAGGTGGAGAAGGAACTGAAACTTTGAGAAAAGCAAGTAGTTGTCAGTCAAGTTCAGCTGCAGTAGTTGATAAGGCTTTGTATTCAGCCTCTGTGGATGACCTAGAGACTGTTTGTTGCTTCTTTGAAGACCAAGAGATGAGATTATGACCAAGAAAGACCACAAAACCTGTTGTTGATCTCCTGTCATTGGATCACCAGCCCAATCAGCATCTGAAAACGCATGTAAGTCCATAGAACCTTTCACATATTTAATTCCAAGCTTGACAGTACCCTTAAGATATCTGAGGATCCTCTTTACTACAATATAGTGTGATGCCATAGGTTTGTGCATGAATTGACACACTTGATGCACTGCAAATGCTATATCCGGCCTTGTAAAAGTTAGATACTGTAAAGCTCTAACTATACTTCTATAAAGTGCAGGATTGTTGAATGGTTGCCCATCATCCAGTAGCAGCCTATTATATGGTAAACAAGGTGTTGCACAGAATTTAGAGTCTAGCATCTCAGTTTTTGTAAGTAGGTCAATTTAGGGTTGAGAATTACATGAGAAAGTATGACTATATATATGAGATAAGGAAAAGATAAGTAATTTTCATTTTATTTTGTTGAATTAACCAACTTCGAATATTTTAAACTTTTCAACAATAATGAGAAACAAAATTTAGATGCAATGTTGTATTTTATGTCTTAACAAAGCATAACCTATTTGACTAAAAAAATAAACACAAGCAAATATAACTTTTAGAATAATTAAAATTTGCATTTATTTTTTCATTTGCAAACTATTAATTCTTAATTATTTGTTTAAAATATGCATAATTTTTACGTGTGTTTTTCTTTGATGAAGATAAATAGCCCCACGTGTATCAAATCTCTAAACGGCTAGCTAGTGTGGTTGTCATGATATTTGCTAGGGCTGGATTTGGTTTGCCAGTTTTGCTACCAGCCCAGTCACATATACATTGTTATCGAAAATTAGTTATTGATGGTCAACCGACTTCTTGTGGTTGCCAAAAATCAGTTTAGCCGAAATTATTGACTAGTTTGGTTGGTTAATGGCACAACACATCGACTGCGAAGAACAACAAACCAGAAAATAAAAATAGAAGCTGTTACAATATTCTTTCAATTGATGGATAGGCCAACATAATCATAACTTAAAAGTTAAAATGGGAATCAAATCATAACTTAATAAGCTAACAACAATGTCATCAAACATAATCCAAATAGTTAATAGTTCACAAACTCAAAAGTCTAAATTATATAATTGTCTAAATCCAATGCAGTACCCAATGCAAAAGCAAAAGAAAGTCAAAAGTTTGGTTCTGATTATAGGATCCCTGATCATGAATTAATTATTCGAAGCACTATTTATATGTATATATGTTGGTACTGTATATTATAGGTATACAAAATTCAATACCAAAATTATATCATTAATAGTTGATACATTATAGTGCTAACTGATTATGAAAATATGCAAAAACTCTCCCTTACCAATACGAGCCGAAGGGTATGGTTGGGTTGGTACGTCAGTTTATAGCAAAATTCCCCCAGCCCTAATGTTTGCCACATGAAAGAGGTATTTGGCAGGCACTCTCGACCAGAATATAGAAGTATTTGTCCTGGAAATTGCTACAATTTCAACCCAACCAGATTAAGCAAATTTGACAAATATTCAAAGTATTATCAATTTCATTTAATTATTTTTATCATCTTACACTGAATCAAAAAAAAAAGTCCCTTTTAAAATACACAG